TCGACACAGTTTAGCTGTAGACCCTACACGCTTCTACCATTCATATATTCCTAATATGTGTAGATTAGGCCGTCATTTGTTCTTTGTATCTACGAAAGGTTTCACTTGATTGTCATATTTAGCAACAGACGGTCCTGACCAGTTAGCTCAAAGCGTCGTATCTTACACCATTGACGTAGTAATAATATTTTTTTGTCTTTCCGTTTGAACATCACCACACCAGGTTAATTCTATTGGTCTTTCAGTTGTTTTCTTTTCGCTTCTTGTTGTACGATATGCGTGAGTTCTTTCCTATTCTTTTATTCACGTGCTAACCGGATGAGTTTTACTCTCGAATGATCTCAGCCAAGGAGACATTTGAGTACAAGTTATCATTATAGGCATGCCTTCCGTCATCGTCCATGGTGCTCATCACCACTGGTTCACTTGTCTTCCCATTTCTGGAAGTGTTCTTATTGATACCATTGTTTTATATTTCTTCTTTCTTCGTGCACAGTTTGGGTTTGTAGACTATCTCGAGTTTTCTACTGATAACTTCAAAAACGATTTGATCTTGTACAGCTTGTAGATTCGGACAGCAAATTTCGACATTGTCGCTCAGCATAGTTTTGGAGACTACAGAGTGGTAAAAATTGACTTAGCATAAAAGAAGTATTGTAACTGCAACAATGCTCCAGCCATGACATTGCATCATTTCCATCTTAAGACCGATGTGCTTTTTTTAAAAAAATTTTTTCAGTAGTTATTTGTTCCTTTCGTTGGTCTACCTCGAGTTATTGGTTTCGCTTGCAACCAAATCCCAAATGTCACTCATAGGTAATTCATATCGAGAAACTTTGGCACTTTTTACTAATTAAACCTACTTATTTACTGCGGTTCCCGTCTTCACATGTCATGTAGATCCCATGACATCTGTTCACGTCATTGTATTGCAACGACTGTCCAGAAATTGTTTCGATTTGCGTTTGGTTTCCGGTAACGCCTAAGGATTTGAAAGATAATTCCAGTTGTGAATGCGAGCGGCTCACGCTTGCAACGAAACATCAGCCCATTTTCTTGGCTGTGTTGTACGAAATCGTTTTTCCAGTGTCAGGATCTGCTCTAATGTTTTTCTCGTCGTTATTCATGTTCTTTTCTTATTATGTGGCTGATCCATCGGTTTACATATTGAGGTATATTTTTGTGATTCTGGGAGAAAGAGTCTGCTTTGAAGTTCTAAGCTACAAAACCAGCTTTGTTTTGACTGCATCGGTCGATGTTCAGAAGACATCGTTCGAGTGCCATGTGTATTGTTTGTATCTTTTTCGATGTACTCGCAGTTTCCGGCCCATGCTTCAGGCGCTGGATCAAATGAGCGAGCGTGTAGGTTCGCTTTAGGAAGTTGGCAAGTGGTATGTCGTAGAAGCGTTATGGCGACCCAATTTTTTTTTCCTTTTCTTTTTTCTTTCTTTCTTCGGTTTTATTGAGTTCTTTTATCAAGTCGTTATTCACATTCATTTAACGTCGTAACTATATAAAAGATGAATTTTTTCGATCCATCCAGGATTATCTATTCTTCATAGCAGGCATTTTTCATTAATTAACTATCCTTCTTTCTTTTTTTTTGTTTGGTTGTTGGACATTTTCTCGGCTAGAGAAGAACGAAGTTTGGTAAATATGGCGCATAATGAAGGGTATCGTAGCGCAGCTCATTTTTCCTTTGCAGGGCTAGTTGCGCACCTTGTGACGTCATGCAAAAGAACTGAGCATATTCTATTGGTCATTTTGAGCGCATAAATTGCAGGTTTTATAGGTTTCCATCGATGTCGTGGCATTATTTTTCGGTTGTTATCTTCTCAAGTAAGTAGAAGACTCAAGGAACGTGTAAGAAGGTGAAAGGGAATGTGTATTTATTTTCATCCTTGTAGACAAATCTGCTAGCATTTGTCGAACAGGAAGGATAGGTTTGGTGCGAGGGAAGAATTAGCAGCCACATACGCATTACAAGACATCTCTAATCACTACAGTGCGGGCGCTCTATCCTCTGTATCCCCTTTCGTCCAGTTCATCGTAGAATGATTAGAGTGGGCGCAGTGAACCTGCCATTTATCCTTGTCGCATGGTGGAGTAGCCCAGTGCGTTCTACTCAGTCTAGGAACTCGTTGAGCTTAATACTTTCTTCTAGAATTCTGGTCAAGAACTCTGACGGTCGAGTTGCTGGTCTTCTGCTGTGCGTTTGATATTTTGAGAAATCCAATCTTGTCTGTCGATTCGCTTTTATACACATTACGTGTCCGGCCCACCTCATCTTCGACGTTTTGACGTATAGAACGGCGTCCTTGAATTTTGATCACTGATAAAGGTCAGAGCTTCGGATCCCCTCTCTCACTTACGTGATGTGGGATACTCTTAAAATCGTTCTTTCCACTGCGCGTTTTATATTGATTAGTCTTCTAGTTGCTTAGATAGCGCCCAGGTTTCTGACTCAGACGTTAAGGCAATGGGGATCGTGTAGCCGAAAAGGTACCCACGGAGTCAGATGTTTTCTGATCCTCAATACATACTCGATGCACTTGAAAGCTCTCGCAAGCCACTCACTTTCTCCTGCTCAACTATGCAGCGAAGTTGTTCATCATGTTGATTTTACGCAGTAGATAAACATAGTTGGAACATTCGGGTATATCTTAATCACTCATAGTGGTATATTCATCTTGTTTATTCGGATATAGTCTTTCCGTTAGGCGTGCATGAGGCATACGAAACCAACCCGTTCATCATGAGCATCCTTTTTCGTGGAACTTAATCGAAGACCAATATTTCCAAAGGCGCGACCAAAGTCAACTAGCATGCATTCCGCCTATATACATGAAGTAATTTCTATCCGTCCATTTTCATTCCTATATCTTCCCATAGCATTGTTAGCATGACGTTCTGGAGGGTGGCAGGAAGTAATTTTGGCGAAATGGTATCGTTTTGCCCAATCCTTTTTTACATCAGTGTTAATATCATTATAAAATGGTGATATTTTGGTTGTGAGGTTTTTATATAGCTCACAAACGACTAAACGATCTTTGTATGCTGAGTAGAGATACCCTGGTGGACCAGGGCTTCCATGCCTGCTTCTGAGTTGAGTCAAAAGCTTGCATTAAATTCGTGAAAGTGAAACAGAATGGTTCTGTTGTACTGTCGTGATAGTTCAACTGTTCTCGTTATTGTGTGGACTTGGTCCATCGTACTAAATCCTTTCGGAAACTCTGCTTGCTCAAATGGCTGTCTTTTGTCCAATGTTATATCAATTTTGTTTAGGATGACTTGAGTGGAAAGTTTCTAGACTACAGTCTACAAGCTTATTGAGTGATATTAGCCAACATCGTGGAGGTCATGGGGGTCACTTTTCTTGAACAGTGACATGGTCTTGCTGGTCTTTGATTGAGTAGGAACCTTGCATTCTGTCAGCTAATATTTGATTACCGAGCCAATGTGTCGATCAGGTTTGGCGGAGGGTTCTTCAGGTGTTCAGATCGTTATCCTGTCTGTTCTTCGATTCCTCACCATGAAATGGCATGTCAGATCTCGAAAGGCAGAACCGATATGAAGATGTATTCATCCTCCTTTATTTAGTGTGAAGACCCTTGGACGTGACTATTGTGGAAGTCTGAGTTGGTATCTTGAATGATTTTCTCCATTATCTTTCTTAGGGCTGCAACTGTTCCGTCTGGACGTCTAAGTGTATTCATCTTACTCGTGTAATTGGCGAATTTTCGGTGGGCTTTGCGAATGGTTTTCCCAGTCTATGCAGCTTCGATAACCAAATGCACCATTAACTTTGGAATCAACATGATACAACGGCTACTAAAGTATCTTCGGTCCGGTTTCTTGCTTCCACACCAGTTCTAGTTTTATATGGTGGTATCATTGACAGTGGATTCGTTGTATCTTCTGTTTCCTTGTTTTTACGTGATCACGAGAGTTCTTCTCTAGTTTATAGTTAAAGCGAATCTTCACAGGAAGAAGGCGATGAGCTCATTTGATGCAAAGAAATGGAATGGCATTAACGGCGAATAGGCTTTATCATCTGTTAAAAAAGATGTGATCAGTTTTCGAATGAGTCGTATCGTTCCAGAATTACGATTTTCAATGCTGATGGTCCTTGTTTTTGGAAAAGAAATTTTAAGGGTAACGACGAGGTGCAGAAAGCAGTCCTAGAAGAAATTCTCCGCTTTGTCAATGTAGATGTTTTGAACAAGCAGTGAATGAAGTAAGGTTCAGTATGCGAAAGCAGTGACGGAAAAAAATGCGTTCATTAACTTTGGATACTGCGAGTTTAAGGTTATTTCTTTCACTAAGTTATCATTTAGAATTTGTATTAACTTTTCGTGTGCAAAATTTCTGCAGTCTTCGCTTTTAAGTTTTGCTCTGACGATAGGCAGTATCGTCCTGTAATGGTAGAGCATTCGGTGTTCATCAATTGCTTGCGAGTACACTGTACGTCCGACTTCATTAACTATCGCCGTGGTGGTTGAATTCAAATGACCTTTACATTGATTTGAGATGTCTTATCATTGTAACAAATTTTCCAACATCGTAAGGATGGAGAGTGGTCTGCCTAGGTTTCGAACCAGCGGGCATGTAAACATTTGGGTGTACTACAAGGCGTCTGTCACCATTGCGCTAAGTCAGCACTCATTCTGATCATAATTCATTTTCTTGTCGAGCAAACACAGGGCACATCATGCTGAATTTTTGCCGTAAGCCATGCACATTCTTCCTCCTTGTAAGACCCTGTGCGGGTGTTCTCCACCAAGGAACTGGAAAACTCACGAAGACAAAACGACTCTGAAGAAGGCGAAACGTCAGATATTGTGCATTAATAAATGTTTTAATAACAAACTTCTGTTTGCTCATCAAGAGAAACTGTGAGTGGTAATTGACCAATGCCAAAGTTAAAAGATAGTCGATCTTGGGATGTGTTACCTTAAGTACAATCTTATGAAATTAGTAAATTTTCCGGCAAAATGTGAACTGTTGAGGATCCCGATGCGAGTATAGATGACGGCGCAAATGTTTCTCCTCCAGCAGACAATGAAGCGGCCGGTGAAGGTGTAGCCAAGGAAGACACAGAACCAGTAAAAGGCAAAGACAAGGATGAGAACCAACTTGGTGCAATGGTTGAAGACGCGAAAGGCAATGTTGCCGTGCCGCTTACGTCTAGTAAAGTATGAAATAAAAACTGCTATCTCTATTATTTTACTATTTTTCCTTCCTTTTCTTTTCTCTTTTTATCTTTTTCATTGAAGGAAGCCATTAAAGCTGTGGTTTTTAATCTTGTTAGCAATTGCTTTAATTGCAACTCCTTACTCTTTGCAGTTTCAACCCCGTATCAATTTCAATGAATCAGAGGATTCGTACTTCATGACCTTTGTTGTCGTAGGTGGCATGTTGGTATTTTGCGTCTATCTTCTACACCATAACAAAATGAAAATTCTTGGTGAGTTTAGGTACCATTTAAGCTTCTTGTTGGAAAGTTATCTTAACACTTGGCGTCTATAGGCATGCGAGTTTTAAGAAATGCGTTGTGAGTAGCACCAAAGTAAATAAAAGTTATTCTGCTATAGTTGGTACTGTTCGCCTATTAGAGTTTTCTTGTTACCATGTTTTTCAATTTTATCTTTTTGAATTCGTAAAAGTTGCAATGCATGGAGTTGTCCAAGTAATTTTAAGCTCTGTTCTCAGTTTTGATCTGCGCTAAACGTAAATCTAGGCAGGTGAATTCATTTATGTTTGTGGTATTTATTCACCTGCGCATAAAACGGCTTTTAATATTTCTATGTATTCTATAGAAAAAATTCAGGGCTCATCTTTGAAGGAAGAGCGTCATCTCATCCACGTAGGAACGTTCGCTATAGGAGGTTGTCGCAGCGGGAAGAAAACAACAAGGAGAATGTTGGATATTAAGTTTCTATCTCGCCGCTTAATATGCTTGCATCATGCTTATCGTTCTATTATTTATTGCCATTTTAATCACTGATGACAAGAACAACTTAAGAAAACGACTATCCATCATTTTGAGGTCGCTTTAAATTTTTGGTTTTCTTGTATGTTTCACTTATTGTTGTTTCTGTTTTCTCTTAATTGTATTACTGATGACTTTAGTCTTTTTTCGAATTACGGTTCGCTAACTGGCTTTGGTATATCGTTATTTATGCATTCTTGTATAGGTGTTTGGTGCCTTGCGTTTGTTTAAGTGTTCATTTGTTGTGAGAACTGTGCAGTCTAACAGAGAAATTCACTGTATTTAAAGTGCATTAAGATGTTATTGCAATTTGTTTTCAATTCCGATGATTTGTATAATGGCTATGGCACCTCTCAGAATTTCGGTACTTTTGAAGCAGATTAGTGGAAAACATTGAAGAAGTACAAGAGTAGTACAACCACAAAGATACTGAGAGGCGAGCAAAACTCGTAACCTCAGGTGGGCTTTGAACCCTGGATTACACTTACCGAGGCATTGCGTGCTATACACCATCCCAAGTGAGGTCATTGCTCTGCCGTTCTCGCAGCTCGTTCTTTACTCTAGCGGTGCTGTCAGGAATCATCCTTCAATGGAAGTGGAATAGAATATGGCTGAGAGAATGGCAAAACAATAGCCTCCGTTGGTGTAGCTCCTCAGTAAGGGTAGTTGCGGGTTCAAAGCCCGTCTGAAATTCCGAATTTTGCTCGTATCTCAGCATTCTTGAGGCTAGACTTCACATCACTCCCTGTTATGAAGAAAGAATAAGTGTGCATGATGTGCAACTGCTAGGACTTCTATTCATATTTTATCATAACCGACATCCATTGAGGCGGTCAGATTCACGTTTGAGTTCAACTAGAGCTCGAAAATCTGGGCGCTGATTCCAGTTGTGAATGAAGCGGACTCAGTGTTGAAACGAAAAAGTAGGCCTACTTTCCTAGAGTTCTTGCTTAAAATCGCTTTGATGCTCTCATGAATCTCGTTAGGCTTCGTGTTCTTTTCTCTAATGCTAAGCCATCGGTTTATCTTTTCTGTGTTACTGGCTCTTAAAAATGGGGTCTGTGGAATTTGGAAAATAGGGTTTCTTTGTGAATCTAAAACGAGAAAACCAGTGCCAAAAAGAACTAGATAAGAACGAACTCAAGGCTGGCATTATCAACTAGATAAGAACAAGGTTCGATGTACAAATCCATTCTACACACCTCGAGCATCGTTAAAGAACTTTGGAAATTCTCAAAATTCCTCCAGTGTTCGTTACAACCTTTGAGATTCATTTTTGCATGGTTTCTGAAGTCTCAGACGTTACGGGCCAGAAAAGTGTAAGACTTCTTTTTAAGCAAACTTCTGAAACCCAGCATCAATTATTCTAATATAAGCAGGATTTCTGGTATTAGTCCACCGCATAAATTTCACAGATACGGTTAGAAACCTTGACATTATCGCATTACAACGTTGCTGAGATATTTGCAAAACTCTGGACCGCAGG